GGAAGAGCCCCAAAGGAGGGGAAGACCTTGGCGTTCTTGGGCGCTTTTGGAACGGCATAGAGAGCTTGTTCTTCACCAATGTCAACAAGCAAACTGACACTGTGACCAAAGAAATCCAAAAGCTGCTTTCCTACAAAAACGAGAGTGGATGGGCCGTGCTTAGCAAAGGGTCTACCGTGGTGGTGAGCGGTCATGGCTTCACAATCTTGAAAGTGCTTGATGACTTCGACACATGGAAGACCTTCATAAAGGAAAAGGGATTTGAACTTGCGTTCAAAGCACACTATGAGAAGGTTATTCAGACTATGAAGCACTGCAGCCGCCTGGATATCCCAACTGTTGCTGGGAAGGTGCCTGAGACCATGAAATGCCCCGAGTGTCCTCGCACCATGGAGACATATGTGAGCTACAAGTGTTGCCACACTGATGGTCCCATTAACGCACATCACTAAAGCTCTTGTTTCTGCTGAGTTTATGAGGGCATCAGATGCCATAGTAGTAATATTGGAATAAGTATTATGCTTTCTTGTTTTGGTTTCTACAATAATCATGGGCATTTCATTACTTTGGTAATGTGACGTCCACCAATGTGAGTATGAGTCTGAGTCTGAGTGTTGTGTGTGCGTCCAGTATTGCAAATGTAATGTTCATCTTTGTTGTTGGATATTGTCATGTTATGTGATCGGCCACAACTTTTTCATCATCGCTATCATATGTATTTTCCTCGAATTAGTAGCCGCTTCAAGATTTGTTGTTGCTTCTTATATGTGCTCTAGGCATGGAGAAATGAATATTTTAGCATCAGAAGCCATTCGAAATGGTTGTTTCTCTTGAGACTATGATTTATATGATGCCAATAGGAAAAAAATTGGTAGTAGGTGACAAGACCACTAAGACTAAAACCAAATGACTGTTACAACAATTGTTCTAAAAAGACCACTAGATGAGTAGCTGCTACGACTAGACAACTACCTAGAAAAACTGTAAACACAGTAAATCACAGAAACAGATTAGGATGAATAATGTTACATCCTATGGACCCGTCAAGTTATGCTCTCATACTCAACAAAATATTAACAAAGTTGAAGTCATCCAACAATCACTTCAGTATGTCATGGCTAGTATTAAATAGGAGTTTCATGACATCAATATCACAAGCAAGTCTGGCCCAAAGCCTGTGCGGTTTGCATGGATGCTAGAATGAGTTGTTATTGTGAGGGGTTATAATGAGAGGGCCCTTAATAACTGTTCGATTTAGTGCAAAGTTATTATTGGACTGTTGGATTGAACCCCTCATTGTAAACCCTCAACATAGCCTCTTATTATTGAAGCTCCCATGCGGTCTCTGCACTCACATAGCGTCCAAACATAGAAGGGCTCTTAGAGATGAGTAAGCCCAGTAAATAAGAGAACAAAAATGGCCTTTTCGCAAGTATTTGGTTGATAGTTTGGGCTTTCTACCTCTTTTCTATTACAAGGAGACTCCTTAAATTTTGTGAAAAGAATAGGTCTATTTTGTTGAGTTATGTGAAGTCCCACACCAAATATTTGATAAAATAAGTACAGATAATGAATGATATCACGATTAATAACATCAAGACTTTTTGTATAACACTACACAAATATCCAACTGTGCAGACGGTTACATTTGGGACATTATTGATGTTGGTAGTAGTTTTATTGGTTTTAGTTCAACTTTTTATTAGTACATAAAGGGGGCCTCAACCTTTTATTTTGCACAGGAACTCCTAATTCCAACGCCCTTGATCGCAAGGTAGCCAGCCTATGGAGGTGAAACTGTGGCAACAGTTTACTCGACACTTCTCATCTAAACTGAGGGAGGTACAGGTGGTTTAGTGTTTCCCAAATTGACTGTTTCACAAGGAATGAGGAAACTTAAACTGAACTTCAATGAGTTCTAGCTCAGTGGAAAAGGGCATTGACTTGCAAACCAATGATCTCAGGTTCAAACCTCTATGACACATTGATATTGTGTGTGTAAGATACCCTATTTCTAAAACCCTATAAGGTGCTGCACCCTCTCTCTCAATCCCTCATAGCCTTGGTGTGCAGCTCCAAGAGGTCACATCAGCAGCTCCAAGGGACCTCCAAGCCTATTTTTATGGGTTCCAAGAGGTCGTGCGACCTCATTGTGGCTCCATCATTGCCCTACACCATTCCAAAAAATGACAGATGGACCTATTGAATTTAATTTTAATTATTAAATTACTTTAATGCCCTATTAAGTGTTTTGTTTATTTTTTATTTTTTATGAGGTTTTAAGGTTGAGTTTGTTTTAAGAAATCGATGGTAATTTTGTAATTTATAGGGAGTTCGAAGCCTCTTTGTTATGTTGTAAATGGGTTTTGGATGTATTTTTAAAGTCCATTTCATGTGGGATTTTAATTTTAATTTTAATTTTTTTAATATAAAAAAGGCCCTTGTATTGGGTATAATAGTAAATCTCCCTAAAACAACTTAAACTGAACTTTTGGTCCAACAAATTTGATTGAAATCCCAAAAGGGTGCAAACCCCAAAACTTTTGGTTCAATAAATTTGGTTTGATATCTCAAATTTATATGTTTAGCCGTGTTGTGGTTTGCTATTCACCGAGAACTCAAACTCTATCTCTTTTTAAACATTTTGCTTTTCCCGTATACCCACTGCAGCATTAACACTTTTTTATTTATTTATAAGGAGCACTAGATTAGATTGGAAAATGCCTATATTTCATGTGCATTTATAGTATAATATGGACATTGTTGTCTAACTTGATGGATAAATGGGGACTATAAGAGGTTGATGGCTAAAACTTATCCCATCTAATCTCCTTGAAAATAGGGGATCATGAGGGATAAATTTCAGTCATCAACCTCTTTTGAATAGTCCTTCTTCATCCTCCAAGTCAGTGGTGGAGCCAGAAATTTAAGTAAGAGGGGGCACCTTTAAAAATTCAAACACTTTGTTGTATGACAAATCAACCTAGTTTTTAAGAAATCCCTAATTTTATCACTTTTCTCTATTTTTTTTTTCTTTACTTTTTGTATGAATAACCTATCACTCTTTTATGATAACAAATACATGCAATCCAAAAGAAATTTAGACATAAAAATGAAAGAGAAACAAAGAAAATAGAGGCCATTTAGGAATTTGTGAGGAATTTTATAATATTTGTACACTATACTAACATAAAATTGTATGTAGAACAATAGTTGAGAGGGGGCCAGTGCCCACCCTGGGCATGCACTGGCTCCGCCAATGCTCCAAGTTAGATAACAATGTTCATAATATGTCTTGATTCTAGTCTAGTCTATTCTAATCCTCCCTATCAACAAGCTCTAAGTATCCATTCCCTCCTTTTCCCCTCATTTCAGTTTTCTCTTTTCTCTCGTGTACACACACTGCTCTTCATCTGCTACTCTTCTTCTTCTTTTTTTCTCCTCTATCCTCCCTTCTAATTCCTTTCATTACTCTTTATTTTTTAAAGGAACCTAAACTGAATGACGATAAAAATTACATTGTGGAGTAGGCTCAAACAAGTGCCTAGCGCGCTTGGTGTTTGAACACTCTTGTACATATATGTATTATTTTGAACTATTTTTGGTTTTAGATTAGAGTTATTCATATCTTGATTCTATAATACATGTTTTTCATGTTTGTCAAAAAGAAGTAGATGTGAAAACTTGCACAAACGTAACATAGTTGCGACCTCTAACCTGTCCAACACGCCTGTACCCCCACTTAAAATGTGTTTAGTAAACAATTGTATGAATTATATAATACTGAGGTAGATACTTCTCTGAAACAGGAAGAAAATAAATAAATAAATAAAGTGACGTAGACACTGACCCAAAATAAAGACGTAGACTACTATGAGGTCGGCATTAACGGTGGATGACTTTGTCACTTGTGAACTGTCGTGGACTTGTGTGCACATACAAAGTATATTTTGTGATTCCGGATCCGATCAGCACGGCAGAAAAGATTAACTTGTTGGGATTGAAGCCGGCAATTGGGTTTCAATAATTTCGATAGGCACATAGAAAGCATATTTCATGATACCTTATTAGAACTCAAAAACTTACCTGTGGCTTTCCATGGCGGGGTGGCAATCCTCAACTTAATGAAATATATAATCTTATTAGTGCCTAACTGGGGGTGTACTTGAATGCGGTTATTATGTACATTGGTGCACAGATGTGAAGAGTAGTTGAATGTTAAGCAATTCTCATTGCAAATTGTATTGAGATTGAAACCTCAACTTCTTCATTATAATAGAGCACGTTGGTCCACATGTGATGTTATCTATATGATTTTTAAGGTGTATAGGAAATTTTGATTGAGATGAATTGAGAGAGAGATTTATGAGACAGTGAGGGCTGAAAGAAGCTATTTCCTATGTGTTGTAAAATTGTAATCTTGGTTGTGTGATCAAACCTTGTAAATCTTGTAAATATTGTGTGTAAACTCAATTTCAAGCGAACATTGTAAATCTTGTATGTTGTGTGATCAATTGCTTTCTGAATTGTTTTGCGCAATTTTTGAGCTAGGAAAATGCGTAGAGAAATCCCAATAGTTGGTATGGTAGGTGCAATGTGTTCAATCGCAATGTGAAAGGGAAAAAAAGTATTTAATGTATTTTTGTGTGTAATGCGTTCAACCAAATGGGCCCCAAACGTTAAATATGATCTTGTTACTCAAAATAATAATATTGGAGAATCAAATGATAAACTGAACATACAGTTGAGGCCGAGGAAGAGAGCACTGACTTTACATTCATGAGCTGCATATATAAATAAAAAATCAAGTCGCGATCCATGTGTGAAACGGTAGACTGGCCATTTCAAAATAGTAAATTAGAGGAGGATCCGCTTTTTGCGTAGTTTACATGTTACCGTCCATCCGTCAGATGAAGAAGCAAAGGCTATAAAAAGGTACAGTTTCATAGTGGACAAGGCACATTCAGCTCACTTGCAACACTTAGAAGCCGTCCCTAGTTCTTGCTGTTTCTGCCTCTGCTTAAACCCCATCCCTAGTTCTTAATCATGAACAGCATCCAGCTAAATGAGTACAGCCATAATGGGTTTACCTTAACCGAGCCAGAAGAAATCTTGGAGATCATTTGTGAAAACCATGCTCCTGAAAACCATCCCAAGTTTGATGTCCGTTCTCTTTTCTTCATCACTGAAAACATCATCAAGCATTCGACACATACCTCAATCGTATCGAAAAGTGATGAGATCAAGCCCCAAAACTTCGATAACTTCATCTCCCCACTGTGCGCTCTCAAGTCCATTGGATGCGAGGTCATACCAATTTCCTTTTCTTTTAATTCAATTGCATGACCAAAATGATATATGCACATGCCTGATGATTATCTACTTTCTTACACATCTAAGTCTTTGTTTGCTCTTGAAATTTCAGATGTCATGTAAGGCTGTACGTGAAAATAGTGCCCAAACCACAACCCTAGGAATATTTGGAAAGCTAACCAAGTATTCATGGGAAGCGAAAGCAGTGCTGGCCCTAGCAGCCTTTGCTATGGAATATGGAAATTCCTGGCTCCTTTCCCAGCTTTACCCCCAGTCTGACCAGCTTACCACTGCACTCGCAATCCTTAATCGCGTTCCACTCCTTCTCAATTCCACTGCAAATTTTAAGAAACAGCAGGGAACAGTGGTTGAGCTCAACAAAACAATCAATGCGACGCTGCAAGTGATTAAGTGCATCCTTAAGCTAGACGAACTTTCTGCACATATTGATCCAAACCATGCATCATTGAAGAGTGCAAAAAAGGATGTCCCAATAAATACATATTGGTCAATCTTAACCATCGTATCTTGCGCCACGGAGGTCTTCTATCTTACTAGAGATGAGTAAGTAGTTCGGGCATGCTTTCTTTTATTCATGTCGTAACCATATAGACATAATTAACTCATTGAGACCATGATTTCCTCCATTTCAGAGAGAAGCCACAAGCTGTTTCAATTCTATCCCACTTTGTTACTAAAAGAATCAACGACATCCTAGCCAAGCTTAAGAGACAGCTTACAATCTGTCAAAAAGAAATAGGTGGGATGCTTGTGGATGAATTATATGACATTGAACTTGACATTTAATCCAGTGCATGCACCACTGAATATTTTGTTTCTTTTGTTTTTTTGTTTTTTCCTTTCTAATTTATTTGACACAGATGAGCCAAAGATCTATTGCAAGCTCCTGAAACATGTAGCCCATGCTCCTCGTAAAATTACGCATGTCTTCAATACTCTGATTCTTTTCAAGGATAATGCTTATGCGAAGCCAGCAACCCTTAGTGTCGGTTACACCAACAAGGAGGTTTGCTCTCATAGCACATTGCTTTTTGTAATATTTAGTATGCTGTTACTAATTTTGACACTTCACCAATTCAATTGTTTTTTTTGTTTCCTCTTTCTTTTTTCTTTTTTCCACACAGGTTTTTGACATCGACGTGCTGGACGGAAAGTACATAACATTTTACATTTCGACACTAGACAATGTTTCTCAAAAAGATATTGTAAGTCTTAAAGAAGTTTATGAGGGAACTGAAAACAACAAGTGTAAGATTGTGTGGATTCCTATTGTGGAGGACTGGACTGAATATGGAAGAGAGGAGCAGTTTATGGAATGGAGGTCTAAGATGCCGTGGTACGCAGTGCAGTATTTATCGCCTGCAACAATCAAGTACATCAAGGAGGAGTGGTACTTTCAGAATAAACCTTTGTCGGTGCTGATGAACCCACATGGAGACGTTGAAAATCTGAATGCACTCAACTGGATTCGGATACATGGAATCAATTTCTTTGCTTTCCGAAATATTAATGTCAAGACATGGATTGCGTCTGTAATGCAAGAACTTATGACCCCGGCATTAGATACCTGGGTAAGTATGTAATAGTTGTTCGACACCAACCGTCTATTTTTTAAGTCTTTTTTGAAGATCACCTTTAAACAAAACAAAAAATCATCCTAATCAGAAACCATTTAATTATCATCATGAAATTTTAATGTTCATAAAAACACAGTGTTCATCTATTTATTTGATGATAGTTTGTTGCCTTAAAATGATGTCCAAATTAGCTAATGTTTCCCAAAGATAAAATGTGTATGAGTTTTATCCGCAAATCCCTAATTAGTGTTTATAACTTATTGTTCGGCCGACAGATGAAAGAGGGAGAATACATTTTCTTCTATGGAGGCACAGATGACTACTCGATGGAGCAGTTCAGAATGAAAGCAAACTCCGCGAAGGTTTCCATCCTGGAGGAATTAAAAATCCATATCAAGTTATTTTGTGTGGGGAAAATGGAAAAAGGAAGAAGCTTTTCAGATGAGTCAAATGCTGGGCGGTTCTGGTCAAGCATACAAAGCTTGTTGTCTACGTTATCTGATTATAAGCTGCATGGGGAGCACACGGCCTTGAGAAAACAAGTCCACAAGCTACTTTCCTACAAAAACGATGAAAGTGGATGGTGTGTGCTTAGCAAAGGGTCTAGTGTCGTCACCAGTGGTCATGGCTGGGCAATTGCCAAGGTCTTGGATGAATTTGACCAGTGGAAGCAACAGATTTCACATGAAAGGAGCTTTGGAACGTGTTTCCAAGTTTACCACGAGAAGGTTATAGCTCAGACTACAACCTCTGGTGCCCACTCTGCCGGCTGCAGCTTTGGCAATGCTAGAAACATGGAGTGTTGCCCAGTCTGTAAGACTCCCATCGAGGCAACATTGGTCAGCTATAAGTGCTGTCGCATGTGCAATCTCACTCCCTACTAATTGTCACCATGCAATTGGTACTAGATGCGACCGAGGGAGGGTACCAACTCCATCCAGGGTTCAGAGTTCATAGTTCATATTTGCATGTGTTTAATTTTTCAGTGAACGTTGGTCCTTAATAATATGAGGATTTTCGAATGTCCTCGTTTTAATAATATGATTGTGACTGTGATAATCACCGATGTATATGTTCATCGGTTTGATTTCCAGAACTACAAGATCCAAGTAGTTATGATCATGTTTTGAATATCAGTGCATACATGTCATGTTTCGCTACACACAGATACAACTTTTTCATCCTCCCTCGCAATGTCTTTCAAATTTCTACGCCTCCAGAAGATTATAAAATCCGGGTTGGGTTCGTCAGGTCAGCCAAATCATATCATATCAAAATTATTGAGTTTACAATTACAACTAAATCTTATCAAAATTATTTATTGAGTTTACAATTACCTCTCAAGTACAACGGATTTTCAAAAACAAAAAACAAAAACAAAAAAAACAAAAAAACAAAAAAACAAAAAAACAAAAAAACAAAAAAACAAAAAGATTTTCCTCTAAAATATTCAGCCCCAAATTCGTAAGTAAACCCAAACAAATGGTCAGCCCCGTATTAGTTTTCTTATTATAGACTCTGTAGGGTGGATTATATGACCAAAATTACCAAGTTTTCATAATTAAAAAATTTGAATTAGTAGTAAAAGATTCATTTAATCAGGATTTTAAGTTTCTTACTATATGAATTTCAAAGGGCAAAATGCATATCGGGATTTTTGTAGAAATGTCACATGGACTTATATCTTAGTTTGAATTTGTCACTTAATTAAAAATAAAAAAATAATTTTCCAAGGTATTTTAAAATGAAAAAAAAAACATTATTAAAAAATTGTATATCTTTTAAGCAATTAAAAATGAAAAAAATAATTAGGAATAAAAAGCCTAAAATACCCTTAAAATAATTCATTTTTCTCTTTTTTTCCCCCTAAAAATAGAAAGACTAAAATACCCTTGCAGTTGATATTTCTACAAAAATCCCAAAAATAAGATATAAATGCCACTAGATCTAATCAACGACATAAAAAAAAAAACAAAACCATGGATTAAACATAATAAGAAAACTGAACGATTTGGGCTTGGATCTAAAGACCCCATAATAAAAATATAAAAATATTTGTATTATTAATAGAATTACTTAGCAGCTAATTCTCTCTAATGATATTCTAACAACCGATTCAGCTCTAACTGTTAAAAGTGTTCAAAGTTAAAACTAATAGCACATGGCATAACAACCCAATTGATTCGGTCCTAGATGTTTGTGGGAACACATATTTTGGCGACCAATAAGAAGATAACACGTGAAAAAAGAATATTCTTTAAGTCAACTAATTACTCTATTTAATGAGGGAAATTATCTTTGATTTAAGATAGGAATATCTCTCCAAATTTGTAGACCGCACCCTACCATTCTCCATTATGAATGAAAGAAGAAAAGGGTCGGGTGAGGTCTACAAATTCTTGACGAGTTTTTTTTTTTTTTTTTTTTTTTCAGCCAGGTGTGAAACATGGCTATGGGCATTCTCTTGGTTTAGTTTTGATTTTAGGCTAATATGCGGGTTTTCCCCCTTAAAATATACTATATTTGTCAATTTACCCCTTTTTTTTGGGTAAATTAAGGGCATGAATTATTTAAAAATAGCCAATTTACCTCTTACTGTCGGCTTTGAGGCTTGCTCAAGGCTAATTAATTAACATTGAAAGAGTTGGAGCAGTGTGGATCTGTGTAAGTATGAGAGAGAGAGAGAGAGAGAGAGAGAGAGAGAGAGAGATCAGGATGGGGTGGGGTGGGTTCGTCAGCGGAGGAGCGTGCAACCGTGTGTAAAGGGAGGGCCTGGGTATTTTTGGTTAATTTTGTTTTTGACTTTTTTATTATTATTTAATAAGGCGCATTTTTAAAAATTATGAAATTACTCTTAATATTGACGGAAAATTAGCTGGAGTTTGAAAATCTAACGATAAGAGGTAAATGGGCTATTTTAAAATAATTCGTGTCCTTAATTTACCTAAAAACAATATCTATGGGGAAAATTGACAATTATGATATAGTTCATGAGGCAAAACCGCATATAACCCTTAATTTTACATCTCAGCCACCGAAGTTATCTAATGATTAAAACTAAAATTCATTAACAAATCCGCACCCAACTCATCCAAAGGACGCATTCTCAAAGATACTCATTTGACTATTATCTTCCCTTAGCTACATATTAATGGGCAGAACCAGTGCAAGGGCTACTCTTGACTGTAGCATAGGAAAGGTTTGGGAAAAAAAAATATTTTAAACATATATATAGCCTAATATTTAAACCAATATATATATATATATATACAATTTTATACTGTGCCAACACCGATAGGCATAGTTAGAGGTCTTTCACATTTGTATTTGGTGTCAAAATTTGTCCCAACATCAATTTTAATCTTTTTTTCATTAATTTGTCTCCAAAAGAGAAGCATTTTTCTAAATGAAATTCACTTTTTTGTGAATTATATGGCCCTAATTTCATTTTTTTTTCTTCTTGTGTTTGTAATTAGCATAATTTATATGATTAATGTATACTTTTATTTCTAGAAAAACTATCGAAAATGTAAGTACCAAAAGAAAATTATCATTAGATTTTAAGTTAATAACTTTAACTCACTTACTCATTGAAAAATTTATAGTTCGACCCTATTAAGGTATGACATCATACAAATTTCATAACATTGTTTGTGGTAAACTGATAACCAGTGTGAAAGTATAACAAATAGTCTTACTACTCCACTAATTAATCTTATCTTTTTTCTTTTTGGTCTGGTAATTAAGCTTATCTTTAACAAGTGCCGATGTCCATGATATTCACATGTTGCTTGCAACAGTGGCATGGACATTGATGAATGAAAGAAAATACAAATGTACGATATATATTTAATGATCTTTTGATCGGATCTACCCAGAAAAAGTCGGGATATGTTCTGCAGCAGCAATATATTTTCGCGACGTATCCTAATTAATGATACGTCATATATTTATTATTTAAGCATGCTCAATTTTCAAAACGAGAAACATAATCAAGCCAAACCATGTGAATATGAAGACATAAACGAAAATTATGGTTTAGTTAGTGGGAATGCTTAATTGGAGATAATAATAACAATTAGTGGCCAACGAGAATGCACAACACATCTGGACATTTAAAATATACAAATTTATAAATAAACTCAATCCTAGACATGTATTTATAAAAAAACTCAAGCACTATTTAAACATAGAAACACACCCAAAATCAACCCCAAAGTCAACTTTTTGGGTGTGATTATAAATGGGTTTTAAGTGTGTGTAATGATGGGTTTTGAGTGTTTTTATAAAGTGTTTTGGGTGTTGGGTTTTTTTATAATTTCAACCTCCATTTTGGGTGTTTTAGTGAAACTCCCTTTAAAATACTGTAGATTAATCTTTATAATTTGTTGGGGTTCTTGGGCGTAGACCTTCCCAAAAAATTTGAAGAATCAATACCCGATTTTTTGGGATTTTAATGAAGTTTTTTAAAAGTTCATATATGTAGTCAATCGGAACTTTCTACTAGTCAATAGAAATTTGGATGTATTTAATATAAAAAATTATAATGCAATAAAAAGAGATATAATTCTTTATTTTCACATTAGGCCCTCAAAAACTCCATACTTTTCCTATAAGACACCCCCCTTTATGCCAATTGCCCTAATATATTGTTTCATTTTGTTGCATCCTAATTTCGTTTTGCGGTTGGATGATTTGATGCACACAATTCATATCCTATATATTATTGTTCTGTTTTTAAGGAAGCCACTAATTAACACGTAAGTATGAACGGTGACATAAAAAATTGAAAACAAGACAAATGACGTAAGGCAACAACGAAATGGATGACGTCGGACGACTAGCCACATATGCACAAACGTGGTGGAGTTGTGTACATTGATAAGACATGAACAAACATATTTCATGATCCTCTGATCTGCACAGAAAAAGAGAGTAAATTGTTTTATATTTAATCATGCATGTTCAATTTAATTTTCAAATACGAGGAACATAAACATTCACACTTTGTCAGCCATATCGTTAGTTTAGTGGGAATGCTTAACTGGAGAAAATAAATCATAATAATTTGAAGCAAAACACGAGATTTTTATGTCTTTTATTTTTTGTTTTCTCAGAAAGATAAGTAGTCCGTCGCAGATGTTTTAAATTATCACATGAAACTGACCTATGTGTGTATATAGGTTAAAATTTGGTTGAATTACAGTGCTTTTCGCTTTCAGACCATGTCAATCATTTCTGATTGATTATCTGTTCAAAGCCATTTATTTTTTTTAAACAAGAAATAATTAACATATAAAAGAAGTTGGATCCAATGTGAAATGAGGTGGATCCTTGTTAGTGTATTAGACTCAGAAATCTTAGCTAATCTTATGACACTTGTCATCATTCTTGCATCATACTTTGAAACACCTACTTAGAATAGTTGCCCTTCCTATGACAGATCATTATATTGTCTTTGTGGTGAATCAATTATGTGAGTTCTGTTTTTAACCTTCAAAATGAAATTGAAACTCTTTTAACACAATTAAAACCCAAGTTCTATATTTGTTTTGGAGTTCGGATAGGAAAATACTTAACTCCTTATCCAAGCACTATATTTGTTCTTACTATTTGGAATTTTAATGGGAAAATATATACTTGACTCCTTACAAAGAAATCAGTGTGAAATCTGTCTTTTCTTTTTATAATTATATTGAGGTACATTTACATACGTGTCCACTGTGATATTTGTGATGGCCTTTTGTCTATTGTTTTCAACCTTATTGTCTCTTTCAGTTAGAGTAGCTTCACATGGAGATAACATGGGGAGTAATATTTTATTTGGGACAAGTTTTAGACTAAACTGAATATGGCTATAAATAGGGCAGGCATACTGCAAGGATGCTGCACCAACACATCAAGCTACGAGCCAATACCCGTTTAGCCCTAGCCTTTGAAATCCCCAAGACTCCCTACCCTAAGTCATCATCATGCTAGGCGACCTCGCAAAAAATTTGTTTCTTAGAGTTGAGACTAGCCTGTTTTCCATGTCTGATAAGAAAATCTTGGACCAAATTTATGCAACTCATTATGTCAATGTTGATACTTCCTTTGATGAGGATTCTCTTTTCGAAATTGTTGAAAACATCCTCAAGCATGCAATCCAAACTGTCGACAAAATTGTGCAGGTACTTTATCACAAAGGTTCTTATTAATTATTATTATTAATTATATATTATCATACCATTGATCATTATTAATTATTATTAATATCTAAAGCACTGCTACATAAACTTGTGGGTTGTTGCAGGGTACCCAAGTGCATGAGGAAAACATAGAGGAGAAGCCCCTCATGGCCAACTTCAGTACACCATTGTGCATACTTAAGTCCATAGCCAGCGAGGTAATTACATCAGAAAATAAATAAATTTTTGTTTATATTGCTCGTAACAATTTTCATGTACATACATTATTTTTATTTTTTATTTTTTATTGTTTGCTTTCATATTTTTCATATTAAAACTATTAAATACTTAAATTTTCAGATGCAATGCAAACCTCCTGGTGAGAAAGTTGCCCATGAAACTGCCCTTGTAATACTGAACAAGCTGTCAAACTATTCATGGGAAGCAAAGGCAGTGCTGACTCTGGCAGCTTTTGCTATGGAATATGGGGAGTTCTGGCTCCTTGCCCAGGCTCAGGAATCGGACCGACTTGCCAAATCAATTTCAATCCTGAAGAGAGTCCCTTTCCTCCTCAAGCCCTCAAACCTGCAAAAAAGAAGGCAAGCAGTGGTTGAGCTTAACAACTTGATCAAGGTTACAATGCAAGTTATCGGGATCTTCGATCAGTTTGAAAAGCTTTCCAGTTACGATCCAAGGGATGTGCCGGAGTTGGCATTAGCAATGGAACATATTCCAGTGGATGCATATTGGGCTATTTTGACTCTTGTTGCTTGCGCAACTAAGGTCACTATTCTCACCAGTGATGAGTACGTTAACTCTTCATTCTTAATTGATGTCTGACCAAAAAAAATTCAATATTTGTTTAGTACTTCAAAATAATAAGACCATGGTTGCCTTTGTTTCAGGGACAAGGAGCATGACCTAGTCCCATACGCTCAAAAAATCCATTTCATCCTGAACAAGCTTAACGTACAGCTGAAAATTTGTAGAAAACAAGTTGGTGTGTAATTACTTGCATATCCTTCATTAGGAGTCATATTATAATATTAATGAAAAATGCTGAAGAAAGTAATTTTCTGTATAATCCACAGAGGACGCAGAAGCTTACCGGAGGATAAGGAAAATCTTTCGAACTCCTACTGAAATCAAGGAGGTTTTCAAGGCCCTGATCTTTAGCAAAGACAATGTTCAGCCACTGATTGATGGTTCTACTGAACAAACGGTTTGCTCTACTGCCCTTAGAAATTGTTGTTTAAGAAGTATATTAGGTTTTTAATAGAGTGAAATTGTGGTGGCCTAATTGTTTAAACAGGTTGATATCGACATCCTGAGGAAGAAAAACATACTCCTATTCCTTTCAAGCCTAGATATCACTGATGATGACATTTCTATCCTCAAACCCATTTATGAGTTCACTAAGAAAGAGGACCAGCATAAGATTGTGTGGATTCCAATCGTCGAGCAGTGGACCAATGAGCTGCGAAAGAAGTTCGAGACCCTGAGGATCAAGATGCCGTGGTACACAGTGCAGATCTCTGCACCCATAGCTGGTATCAGGTTCATCAAGGAGGAGTGGAACTTCAAGGGTAAGCCTACATTGGTGGTGATGAGCCCACAAGGAAAGGTTGAACATTCCAACGCATTCCACATGATTCGGGTATGGGGGCCCAAGGCCTTCCCTTTCACAGAAGCAAGAGAGAAAGAAATCTCAAAGTCTCTTCAATGGTTTGGCAATTTAATCAGAGAGATTTATCCGACTCTACCCGACTCTGTAAGTTCCTTTTAATTAATAATTCGAACAGAAACCATACATTTATCAATGACATTGCATGCATGCAATGTGACCAAAGCCATACATTTAGGGTCCCTCTGACATTACCCGTATTTGAATCTATGATGTAAATTTGATGATAAAGCAAGTTTTTGTGGTTTAATTTATTTTGATCAAACAGAAAGAGGATGAGTACATTTTCTTCTATGGAGGCAAAGACAAAGACTGGATCAAACAATTCAAAGAGAAAGCAACTGCTCTTGCAAATGATCTCATCTTGAAGGAAGCAAAGATTAACATAAAGTTGTTTTGTGTGGGGAAAGACAGCAAGGGAGAAGATGACTTTGGCATTCTATGGCGCTTCTGGACCGGAATAGAAAGCCTGTTCCACACCAAGATACACAAGCAGGCCGACTCAGCCACGCTAGATATCCAAAAGCTACTTTCTTACAAAAATGAAAGTGGATGGGCTGTGCTCAGCAAGGGGTCTTCTTTGGTTGTCGCCGGTCATGGTATCTCAATTTTGAAGGTGACAGAGGACTTTGACAAATGGAAGGGACAAGTGAGAGAGAAAGGCTTTGAGTTTTGTTTCACGACATACTATGCGAAGATTGGCTTTACACCTTGCTGCCGCCTTGATATTCCAGGCTCTACCGGGAAGGTCCCGGACACAATGAAATGTCCCGATTGCAACCGTAGCATGGAGACTTTTATCAGTTACAAGTGCTGCCACATTGATGCTCCTAATGTGCATCATTAAGTTCTGGGTTTCGTTCTTTTAGTACCACTGCTAGGCAGTGAATATTATGCTAGAATAAAAGGGTATCTAATTTCCCATTCCTGTAATGTGGAGTACAGATTGTGTAATTGTTCTATTATGTTTCTTTCGGCCAGATTATTCATGGCAGTCTTTGTGATGTTAATGTTTTATTGGTTAATAATGTATTGAATAATTTCAATGTACTGTTTGTTGGCTTTGAAAGGCATTACAAGCATGTTTGAGCGTCTTATATATAGCCCTTAGGTGAGGCCCTATCTCTTAATCATTGAATCAAGCTAACCCAATTGATCAAAAGGGTAAAAGATAGGACCTTACCTAAGGACCATATATTAGGTCTCACTATAAAATGACTCTTGGAAATAGATTAGTTTGGGTTAGGTTATGCAAGTGACCCAATTGAGTAGTTTGTGGGTTTGGCATTTGGGTCAATGCCTAATTAATTGGGTCAATGGTTTATTAATATGTATATGGGACTTGAGCCTTAGGCTCTATGATTTAAATTAAACCCAATTGATTAATTTATTATTTTAAAATTTAAATATTAGATAATGTCTTTAAAACGTTATCTGACAGGACCCGTCCCGAATTTCCCAGAACCCGAGACGAACCTTGCGGAGACCCCGGCATCACCCCCCTGCCGGGTTCACTCCTTAAATCTAGGTCCTCGTTTACCAGAGAGGATTAGGGGCACGAGACTTCCTGCCGAAATTTCGGCAGAGTCTCCCCTGTAAATTGAACATTTCCCCAAAATTT